ACGAGCGTACCTGAGCTCGCTGCTTCTGCACCAGTGATCGCATAAACACGCCCGACAGCTTGGGCTCGTCCACCACCTCTAGTCTGATTTCTTCCAGTGTTGGGTGGCCTCATCACTGCACGTCCACCCATATTGCACTCGTTCTCCAGGTGGCCATGTCTTCTACAACGTGTGCAATACTTTACTCCTACCAATTGAGGGCATGATGACCTGAAATGAGGTCCTCCACACTGGAAACATCTAACCGGCCCCTGTTGGTTTGATTGTCCAGCAACTACCATAGCTTGCGAACCACCTGACTGAGCTGGACGAGCATACGGGGTCCTGTTTCTATTCACATTGGATCTCGACAGAATTGGCCCTCTTGATACTTGTTGTTTCTTCTGTTGTTCCGCCTCAGCCATATTTTTCTCTAACACTTTAGCTCTCTCAACTATGGCTGGAAACGTCCGAATGCACAAGCTAGAGATCAACACCTTGAGATCACTTCTCAGCCCATTTTCAAACTTCCTACACTGCCACTCTTCACTAGTAGCCATTGTATAGAACCTCACCAAGTGTTTGAACTTATTTGTATACTCTGAAACGGACATCCCTCCCTGTACTAGCTGAAGAAACTCCACTTCCTTAGCAAAACGGACGCTATCAGGGAAGTACTCCTCATAGAATTTGTTCCTGAAAACCTCCCAAGTAATAGGTCTGTGAGCGTCCGTAAGTATAGCCTTAGCGCTCGCCCACCAGTGGCTTGCTTCTCCCGTAAGCAAATACTTCGTGAAAGCCAATCGATTCTCATCTGGACATCTCTTAGCATTGTAAATTCGTTCCATATCCTGCAGCCACTGATCTGCCTCATCAGGGAGACCTTTCCCACTAAACTTGGACGGATGGTGTTGGAGAAAGCTCTCCAAACTCCACTCGGTATGGTGAACGGCATTGGAAGAGGACGCTCCTGGCGTGCCTCTAGTAGCAGCAATGAGTTCCATTAATTGTCTCTGAGTGGCTTCAGAGTTTTCTCTTGCGGCCTCAAGACTTCTTAGAGCAGCTGCATTCTGCTCCATAAGTGTAGTATTTTGTTGTTGCAGGCGTTCAATAACCGACTCCAACAACCTAGAATTGTTGGACGTATCCGGCTCGTTTGGTTGAGGGGGAGGAGGAAGTCTAGGAGCCATCGTTTTCTGGATCAGAGAAAACGAACGTTAGAAATGTCTAAGAGTTAAAACAGTAACTCATTAAACACACATAACAAGCACACAACGAAAGCA